ATAGAAGGATTAAAAATGAGCCGGATTTCAAATAGTAAGAATTAAAAAGGGGATTTTTTCAGTATAGGGACTAAAAAGGGGCTTTTTCCTATAGTAGATGGACCAAAAAAGGTATTTAACCATTAATAAATTATAAAATTAGTCCCAAAAGCTTTTAATTTAATAATTTATTTTAAAAACATTTGGGACTAGATTGTCACTTTTCTAAATTTTGAAGACTGATCTTATAATTTTTTTGTTTCATTTAATGAAGAGTTAATATCTTTTGTTAGTTTAAGAAGTAAAATTTTTAAAGTTTTAAGTTCAAAGTTTAAAAACTTTAATATGTAAGATAGAGGGGTAAAAGTGATGAACTTCATAAAATAAGAGGCCAAACATAGGCTTTGAAATCCAATTAAAATTTGGTTAAAACCCTATTTGGTCCCTTTATTTTGATAAAAATCACTTTTTGGTCCCATACTTAAAAAACATCTTTTTAGTCCTTCAAGTTTTTTTTATCCCTTTTTGATCCCTCCATCAGTTAAATGGTGACATGGCACAATTTTTGTTAAATAATTTTTGTTTTTTTTTTTTATTTTTAAGTGTTAGAAAAAAAATGAGGTGTAAATACTAAAAATTTATGTGGCACTATTAAATAACCTTTTTAGTGATGTGGCAATATTAAATAAATTTTTAAATAAGTTGAATTAGAAATTGTTCTTTGAAACATTTGCAAATCTTTTTCTTTGATGCTAGTGGATCCCCCAATAATCTAGGTACCCTACTTCAAATACAATCATCAATAATTGTGAAATCGTAGGAATATTTTTCACTAATAAAAATAAAAATTAATTACTAATTAGAGTAATTTATCAATACTATAAGCCCTAACTTTCTCCTCTTGCAAATTGGCTTAATTCAAAAAATCATCTACTAACTTTTAGTTTAATTTCAATTTCATCTATTATCTTTGAATTGTTTCAATTCTGTCTATTATCTTTCACATTTATTTCAATTTCATCTAGGCAGTTAAAGTTAACAGAAATCCTAACGAAAATCTTCTTAAAGCTTAGTACTCTAACTATGTTTCTTTTAATCTTTTAGTTCTTAAATTTATATTCCCAGTAAAAATAGTTTTTATTCTTATTTTGCTAAATGTGTTTTTTAGAAAATTGTTTTACAGAGCAGACTGCTTTCAATCCACCCTGTAAAATTATTTAAATACCTTTAATTCTATTTTTATATTATTTTTGTATAAACATTTAAATAATTTTATAAGACAGATTGTACACAGTTTGTCCTATAAAACAGACTTATTCTTAAAATTTCTTATTCTGAAGTTACTGAATTTCTCTGTCTAAATTCCAATCTATCTCTATAAACTATTTTTTTATTCATCATATTTTATTAGGATTTAAGTGTCACTTTTTTAAAATGCAAAGGACTGCTCTTTCTTCAAATCTAATGGCAATCTAACGTCCTCTTTGTACGGTAGACTAATTTGAAATATTTTTCAAAGTTTCTAAATCATTTAGAAATGAAACAAACTTTCTAGACTAAACTAAAATTAAACTAAAAGTTAGTAGATGATTTTTTGAATTAAGCCTTTTTTTGCCCGTACAATGATTTTTTATCCTTTTTTTTACTGCTCAAAATTCAAGGTCATGTTTGGTAGGAGGGATAAAAATTTCGTGGTTAACTTATAAAAATAAAATAAAATTAAAAAATTAAAGTATTTTATAG